GTTTGGATATGGGGGTGGTGTATTGGATAATGGCTTAGAATTTGCGTTATATATATATATATATTTCTAAAGAATTAATGGTTTTATTTTACGATGTTTTTGCTAATTTAAGCGTTATTAGTAGTGGATACAATATTTGAAATTTGATCGAACGTACGTCCCTCATTAAAGGAGAAGCCACCGTTTGATACGGCGTGCTTAACTAACTAACGCACACACACACACACACACACACACACATCCACATATAATACGTTAAAATTTCCCTTTCTCTGCCCGGCGCCGATAGCTTAGGGGTAGGATGTCTGACTGATGCCAAATTGGACGAGTTTCGATCCAGGTTTGAAGTTTGATACAGCGAAATAGTATGTGGGTGACCATATATATACATATATATATATATATATATATATATATATATATATATATATATATATATATATATATATATATATATATATAGAATGCATGTTGATATATAGTTTTAATGTGTGCTATATTCATGAGATAAAAGCGTTCAATATCAGAGATACAGCGTATGTAAATATAAAAGTGAACATTGAATTCATTAATGAACATTTATATATATATATATATATATATATATATATATATATATAATAATTAATTCACCAGACAAAGCGAGAAACCGCTAACACGCATTGGGCTACTCGGTGTGAAAAGACTTTCTAAGTAAACGGAAATCTTCAACTGGGAGCAAGGCAGAAATATGTACTTCTGATCTCTCTCTCTCTCTCTCTCTCTCTCTATATATATATATATATATATATATATATATGTATGTATTGTAGAATATTTACCCTGCCCTCCTTCACACATTGGAATTCACTGTGGACTATTGGCCCGCGAAGTCTCGACTGTTCAGTTTACACTGGTACTGAATCGATGTATATATATAGATATTTCTTTTGTTCATTTCATACTTAGAAGGCGATAAAGATGCCAGGCATTACAGTTTTGTAGACTTTTTAATTGATGTATTTCTTTTACGGCTTATCAACATTTGCATGTCATTTAAAGCCAGAAATAAATTTATAGATTGTAAGAATTTAGGGTATAGGAAAGATTTGCTGATACAAGTTTTGCTATTTAATCCATCTCTGGAGACAAGAAGCAGGTGGATTCATACATTCTGAGATAGATAGATAAATAGATAGGTAGGTAGGTAGATTGAGGATAAAATAAAAAATAGATAGATATGTAGATAGATAGAAAGATAGACAGATAAATATAAACAAATTAGATTTAAAAATACATAAATAGAAACATAATTTGATACTAAGATAAATACAAACAAAATGAGATACATAGATATACATATACATCTATCTATCTATCTATCTATCTATCTATCTATCTATCTATCTATCTATATAGTGATAGATAGATAGATAGATAGATAGATAGATAGATAGAAAAAAAGATATAAATGCAGAAAGATGCATAGGCAAAAAGGTAGATAGATATATGTAAAAAGATAGATAGATATGAAAAAGCTAGAGAGATGGATACATGTATAAAAAGAGACGTAGATATATGCAAATAGTAGATAGATAGATTGATAGATAGATCGATTGCATATATATATATATATATCTATCTATCTATCTATCTATCTCTATCTATCTATATATATATATATATATATATATATATGCATCCGAGAATGCCAGTTCGCTAATCCCACTGTAGACGCCCGTTCAGCGACATTTTGTGTTTTTTAAGCACCCACAGAGCCCACCTCTGGGTAATACTGCAACTATGCTGAGCAGACATTAATTACAGTTTCTGGGATAGAACTCGTTATCAACAATACAAACAAGTCCAGCACACTCAAACCCTCGATCACAATGACTTGAAATTTCGTGCTAGGACAACCATCGACGCCCCCAAGTGTTCCGCCTCCTCAATTTCACTCACAAGACTTGGTATGGTTTTCAGCCACATTCCAAAGGTGTCATACGCTAGATAAAAATTATAATTATCTGTAGTTCTCAGTAGACATAGTAGGTGTCGTTTTTAGTGTTTCCCACTCTAATGACTACAAGATTTTGGTATGGATTTGATTTTTAATGAAGGTCAATAAATTGGATGAATATGAAGACAAAATGGACATGACAGGAGACGATTGATTTGTTCGAGGACAAAATTTCTACTTTCTTCAAAGTCTTCGTATTGAAGTAACAATTCTAGTTATTCTCAGAAAAGACTACAGAATGCGTCTTAGAAAATTGAATAAAGGAATTCTTCATTAGTAGATGAATAGAATGGTTTTTAAATATTTAAGATCCCTGATTTTATTTCGTACAATGTCTATAGGGATTGTCAATAAAGTTTTTGAACAAATTTATTTTTCGTACAAAAAATCGAATAAAATCTAGATTTTTTTCATGTATTTCTATATTAAAAATATTCATTACAAGATTTTAAAAACTTCTAACTCAATCTCTCTCTCTCTCTCTTTATCTATCTATCTATC